GCATCATTGCGAGTGGCTATGTGAGTCTGTCTAAAGAGAAATTTATGGAATAGTGGGCATATGGGCTAATATCAGCTTTATGGACTTAATCCGGACTGGGATGGGATGTTTTCTCAATATACAATTGATCTTTGATATAAAGGTCTCTCTTACCTATATATGAGTGTCTCTGGATTTGTTTTTCTAGTCAACCCGGTCTAACACAGTCACCTTTCAACCAAATAATAGAATGGCCTATAAAATAGACACTTAGACCAGTGAGGAAAGTGCTCCTGAGACCCATCAACTGTGTAAGACCAAAAGTAACAACGAGAAGGCCGGCTGGAACGAGGAGTGTGAGTGGATGGGAACAAGGGAGGTAGGATGGAAGCAAGGAGAGTGCCGATGTGTGTGGGATAGCAACCAATTACACCGATTAAATCGTGTATAGTTTTTTCTGTGTAAACTTTCACCTAAAACACAATGATGTGTGTGTTTTCTTTTTTAACGTGGGAGGAAAGAAACTGATTCCATTTTGTAGAAATTACCCCTGATTTCCCTTTCATGAAAAAGTAAAAGGGAGGGGGGTGTTCCAGGTCCCATGCATGTTTAAAAGGAACATAGATTTCCAGGTCATAACTACACAGTTGGCTTTCCTGGGAAGGGTGGAGAAATGAAAGCCTCTTGTCCACACGGTCAGCTGACATCCTACCCTCAAGCCTCCCATTAGAAATGCTGTCACCGAATCTCTGAGGACAGAGGTACCCACTCTCCATGTCACCAAAGTCCTCTACTCCTGTCTCAGGGACTTTCGAATCCTGGAAGAATGGAAGAAACATGGAAGAAACACACCAGCCTGTGTGATCATGAGGCGTCGAAGGGATCAGGTGTGAGGTATCAAGGAGAGAAAAAAAATCAAATCCTCCTTTTCCAGGATGAGCAGGATCCTGCTTGGAGCCTGGCCTTCAGGGAGCCCAGGGTGCTGGGCCCCTATCCCCCTTGTCTGCCTCTTGGTGAGAGGTCTCTGGGTCCTGGCCCAGCCTCCAGGCCCCAGCATGAACAGGGACGCCCACTGCTGGGTCCTTTTCTGGACTGGTGAGGACTATAAGGGAAGCCGTGCCGGAAGCAATGACGTTTCCAGGCACCAACTGGCCGCCTAGTAAGAAAGTCAGGGAAGCAAGAGAAGGGAGTCGTTCCTTAATTTCCCTAGAAGTGCAGCAGGAAGAACTAAGTTCTCTCTATCTTTATGGAAGGGGTCTGGGAGAAGAGAAGACAGAGCGTTCTCTCTACTCCAGCCAGAAGCGATTTGGGTGACGCCTCCCCCAGGGACTTACCATTCCAGCCGAAGCCCTATTACTGAAGAAACGGGCGTCATCCCACCACCCTCAGGGTCAGCAGTCTCCCAGTATGCCTTTTCAAGCTCTTCTGAGTCCTGCCAGGGGAAGCGAGGAAGCAGCTCACCCCATTATCTCACTGATCGGTTCAGACTACGTGCTACAAACAGATACCAGGAAACCAACGCTTTACAGACCAGTGTATTTATTAGTGCTCAGGGATCACCTCAGTCCTCATCGTCTGCTACCCCACCGATTCCTCCAGGGAGTGCTGGATTGTGGACCCAGTTGGGATGGGGGTAGGGATCAAGAATCCCAAGAAACCCAGAGGGGAATTTGGGATGGGGGTGGGGATCAAGAATCCCAAGAAACCCAGGTGTCTGGAGCAGCTCCATGCTGCACTCGGCTTTTCATCTGTTGTGCAGGAAACCGTCTATGCCGCAGCGTGGACAGGTGCTGGTCGCATGCCATACGCAATGCTAGCACTAGGGGGTGACAGTGAATCAGAGGCTCATGGCGGACATCAACCACAGAGCAGTGCTGTCCTGGAGGGTGCTGCTGGGCTGGGGGCGGGGCAGAAGGGGACATGCTGTGGTCTGCGCCTTGTCCCAATGCCAAGTTCACTGACTTCTTCTTCAACTCATTGATGGGGAGAGACTATTTACACTACAGAAACCAGCTAACACTACAAATGGAAACCCGTCACCCCCTCTTGTTTTAGCCCTAGAGAATGGGCGGGTCAATATTGAGCAGCACACCACCGGCTTTCCTCTTCCCCAATGCACTGGGGGAAGGAGCCACAGAGCCACGTGCCTGTGCGCTGCGTGGCTTTAGGGCGGCTTTAGCGAGAAGGCAGAAGGAGGACAGTGTGCTCTGTTTGGTCACTTGCATAGATTTGGTCCCCTGCTCTGCGCTGAGGCCTAAGTCATTGGCCGTCGCAGCAGCCTGCATGCCTCGGGCTCTCCTTTGGGATGGCCAGGGTGTGAGAGCGCGAATGAGGAAGTACTTAGGGAGACCCACATCCCTTGTGCTCCCAGTGGTCCGGGTGGAAGTGCCCCACGTGGCGGGGAGCAACTTTCCAGGGTGGTGGCTCCCACCAAGGCAGCAGTGACTGATTTGGCTTGGGTGTTGCTCTCCATTTGTGAAGAGAGGTGTCGGATGGGGGCGGGGTGGGGCGGTTGTGTGTCTGAGCACACTGGCCAAGGCCTCTGGAGGTGCCAGGCTGTGACTGGCAAGGCCTAACTGAGCCCTGCCCTTGCTCCATCCTTAGTATGGACAGTTGAGGGGGCCCAGACAGTGTTGCCAGAGGAGGGAACAGCTCGACTCCAAACCTGGGAAGAGGATTCTCAAAGGCGAAATGCTGAAATGATGGCAGGTGCCCACCTCTGCCAGGGGCTGAGGCCGAAGAGACTGGGGAGCGAAGATCCGGAAGGATCGGTTTTGGTTAAGAACCAAACCATGAGATCCCAGGCATCAAAGTACCATTTGTTACAAACCACCCCCATGCAGGCTTGGGGAGCTTTGTGGGGGATGGGACTGCCTGACCAGGGGCCCTATGCTGTGGAGCCAGGGTTAACCACAGACACCTGAGCGGCCGGCAACCTACTGGAGAAGTGGGAACTGGTCTGGCTTAAGATGATACCACCAGAGATCGGCAGACCAGGGACTGGGAGTGGGCCTCACGTACCTGCGTCAGGCTCTCTGCTTCACCAGCCTGCCTTCCAGCCACCCAGGAAGCCACAGCCGAGGTGAGGCCTCCTGGGAGGGCGGGGGAGGCCATTGGGAGCACCATTTGCAGATCCTCCCTCTTCACGCAGGCACGCGGCTATTATTTCACACATCGCAGTGGCTGGAAGGAGGCAGGAGGAGGCACTAGGTGCCTTCGGGGACCTTGACACCAGGACCGTGATGGGCCAGACCTCTGCCTCTGAGGGAAATGGGGGCTGCTCACCCAGGAGGCAGAGTAGCCCGTAGCGGTGGCAGGATCAGCAGTGGTGGGACTCGTGGACAGGACAGGGAGGGAAGAGAACCAGGGCCCTGGCTGCCCCACTGCCCATGCTGATGGAGATGGGCCCTGTGACGGAGCCGTGGGCAGGGGCTACTCGGTCACCGGGTCAGGTCTCTCCCCCAGTTCCACGATGTGGAGGCTGAGGTGGTCCCTCCATGCCCCACTCAGCAGGGAGGTCAGGGCCGGTGGGTCCTCCATGGTCAGGTGGGGAAAGACGCGCATCTCACTCTGGAGGGGGAAGCCGCACTGCTCCACCGCAGGTCTGGTAGTTCCGGGGGTCACCACGAAGAGGCGGCAGAGCCACGGGCCACCAGCCCCCTGGCAGGCTGGCTGGCTGGTGACGTTGTTCAGGGCTTGGCACAGGGCCCCGTCCTCGGTCCCAGCCATGTCCACCACCTCCACAGGTGAGCCCAGGCCGGAGAGGCGCAGGAGGTGCCGGGGCGGCATGTAGGTGTGGGCGAAGAGCAGTGTGTAATGGGTGGGCACACCTGGGAGCCCAGGCGCATGAACCACCTGCTCCAGGTGCCCCAGGCCTGGCACTAGGCCCCCTTGGTGCAGGCAGCCGAAGAAGAAGGCGCCCAGGACATTGAAGAGGACAAGCGCGCCCTTGCAGGGCACAGGCTGAGCCTGAGGGCTACAGAGAAGGACCAGTGGTACCAGGAGGGGGATCAGAAAGCGAGGCTCCTGGTGGCTGAAGGCAGACAGCAGGGCCAGTGGTGTGAAGTAGAGGAGAAGGAGGTTAGACCGAGGGCCGGACAGCAGGCTCCTGGCATGTAGCGCCCTCAGGAAGCCCCTTGGCGCCAAGGGGTGGCTGCAGGCCTGCAGTTGCTGCCACAGAGCCCACAGGGCCTGGGCGTGCAGCGGGCCGAAGAGCAGGAAGCCATTGACCAGCAGGTGGGTGAGCCGCAGGTGCGTGCCATGACGGGCCAGGTTCTGCGGGTCCAGGTTGTAGTGCAGGAAGTTGGCAGGTGTCAGGACCAGTGCACTGGCTCTTGATGGGCTGGAGAAGTACCAGCTGTCCATGGCCACAAAACCTGCTGCGGTGAGGGCTGCCCCCGGGAGCAGCTCCAGGGCTTCAGAGGCCAATGACTTGAAGCCAGGCTTCCGGG